TAAACTTTCCGATCAGTGTTATTTTTGTTTTTTTCTATCATTATAAAACTCTATATTCTTTCTAATGCCTTTACCAGCCTTCTCTTTCACTTCTAGTAGCCACTTCCATCTTAGTGGCATTATTGCCTTACATGGGGTGAATGGAGTTCATTTCTAAATAATTTAAATATGTTCTTTGAAGTTAAATTTTTATTTTATTTGGAAGATAACAGCCTTAATAATCCATATTAAATACCATCCTGGGTATGACGATAACCTACATCCTCACCTAGGGTCAGACAATAAACTACGTCCAACAGCAAGGCCTCTGATCAGGAGGTTTTGAGGAGCATGGAACCACCTCTTAATTGCTGGTGTTACCAGGTCCACCCTAACCCAGGGTGGTAGCACCTGTTAGGGTCCCAGCTATGGGCAAATAGTTAACCCCCAATCTGAAGTAAAAAGCCTTATGAAAGTGTAAAAATAGGTTTTAATACCAAAAATACTTTGTAAAAAAAATTATTACCTGAAATAAATTTTTCAAGAAAAAAATATTACCAGAAATACTTTTTTTGAAAAAAAATGTTACCAGAAATACTTTTTTTGAAAAAAAATATTACCAGCAATAACCTGGAGGTTAGCATCAGCCATGCTGATTGAAGTTAGAAAGGGTTTTCTCAGATGATTAAAAGAGAGCAGTTTCATTTTGGAGATGTTTTGGTCAGATTTTTGGAAGTGGGGGGGGGAGTCAAGAACCCTTCAGCACTCGATTATAACTTATTACCATGCACTTGACCAACAACATCTGAAGGCAAGGTAAAGTTTGTTAGGGTTTTTTTACATAACTAATAAAAAAAACTGCTTTATTATGATTGATCAGAACCAAAAAGCATAAAAAATTTATTGATTAATAAAAAGTGGAACAGTGACTCACAAAGAAATCAATTATTGATTTGTATGCTAGCCTGTAATAATATAGCAATATGCAGCTTTTTTATCATGATATTAATGCATTAAGCAAGACCTCCTTTATGACTAAAGTAGTTGTTCGAACACAGATAAAAAAAAAATTAAGAGGCTGATTTTTATGGTCAGCAGATTCTCTACAGTTGGAAACAACTTGGTCTGTTCTTTTCACCTGAGACTTTTGTTAATTTATCTTTAACGTTACAAGAAGTTTTGTTGGTCTCTCACTCAATTGAGCCCCACACATAATCAAGGGGATTGTAGTCTGGGGAATTAGGTGGCCAGATGTTAGGGATGATGTGGTCACAGAAATTGTCTGACAGCCATGACTAGGTCCTCCTGCTTGTGTAGCATGGTGCAGAGTCCTGTTTCCAGACATCAGGTCTTCCAGCAGCCACACTCTTGACCCAGAACAGCACTACCTCCTCAAGGCACTTGATGTAGACATCTGTGTTTGAGTTTGAGGCCCTCACCAACAAATTTCGCAGTTTTTTCTTATCAGGACAATCAGAGTGAGTTTTCTGATTTAGACTATATTAGTAATTTGGCTTCTGTCATAATAGGCAATGGATATAGCAGCAATTTGTTATTTGGACACAGCATTGCCAGATTGAGCAACTTAGTAGTGAGTTTTTTTTTTATACTTAAAAGCCCAGTATTACATGTGACCTTTCAAGACCTAATTTTGAAGCTAATTTGACTACAGTAAATTGATATATAGTTTGATCAATGGCGTAGCCAGAGTGAGCAGTACATACGCTAATTTTATATCTCATGTATGATGTGACCCCCTTAAAATTCGCATCAAAATTAGGTCTTCAAAAATCACATGATCTAAGAGTATATACAGTATCTATTTCATTCTGTTAATATTAATTACTGACCGCGTAGCCAGGGTCAGCAGTACGTACGCTAATAATGTTATATCACATGTATGATGCGACCCCCTTAAAATTTGCTTCAAAAGCCGCATGATACGGGAGTATATACGTTATTTTACCCTTGTTGAGTCAATTCATTTTATTAACAAAATGTCTGATAAAATAATTATTCTACCAACTTGCCACAATACTAGTTTATTTATTCTCCTTTGTTGCTCAGTTAAAAAAAGCAAAAATAATATCTCTTTGTTGAAATTGTCTTCCATTTCCTTTCATCTCTGAAAGAAATGACACTATGTCATTTCATTTACACATGTAAAAATTCTGTTTGCTTTTCTTTTCTTTTTTTAAGTCCAGCTTGGAGCAGAACTGCAACACCTTATGTTGCATTTTCGCAACTCTTAGTCATTCTACAATTGCCACAGCTCGTGGGGGGGGGAGCATTAATTTACAGTTTACACTTTTGTCACAAAATTCTCTTTAACAGCATAATTCAATATTACTTTTTTATTTTTTTTCTCCTCATAGAAATAAATACTTATTTCACTTTATTTTATCGAAATTTGCAAAATAAAAAAAAGATTGTACTTTCCTGGCACAAGGCAAGTTTTTTCATTAAAAAAAAAAAAGTTTTGTTTTTTTATTAGAAATAATAATGCAACGTTGCTAGCTGAAATGAAGGGCGTGTCTGAAAAAATTGTCTCAGTCATGTCACTAACAGTTACTGTGGTGAACAATCTTTTTTTACTAATAATCTTTTTACTTTAAAAGTCCGTAGTCATTTTCTTTAAATCATCAGGAATACAAAGTACACGTGTATGATTTCACCACAAGTTTAGTCCAGCTTGGAGCAGAACTGCAACACCTTATTATTATTTGTTCAAAGTTTCCATGCCTACTATAAAAATAAAGTAAAATTTTTACACACATAAACCTCGGTCAGAACTCCCATCGGAGTCCAACTCTGCCATTGGTAAGAACGGGGACTTACCTGATGCGTCCCCAAAGGGGAAATGCATTCAACTCAGTCTTCTGTTCGATTGGGTGTACACTTAAACGATTTGCGATTAGGGAAAAAATCTTAGAAAGGCAGTCGTTTAAAAAAAAAAAAAAAAAAAAATTCCACCGTTTTCTTCTGTTGGAGCAATTTTTTTTTTTTTTTTTTTTTTTAGATATTGTAACTTTTAGCAAAAGTTTAAAAAAAAAACCCTGACGATGAATAAAAAAATGTGCAGATTTATGAAACTTCTCTGACATTGAAAACGTACATCTCACTTGGCTATGATGACTATTGCTGCCACTATTATTATTATTATTATTATAAAAAGAAAGAAAGAAAAAAGATTTAAGTGGCAAAAAAAAAAAAATATTGGGTTGGGGAAAAATATCCCCAACCCAATAATTTTCCTTCTTTCTTTTTCGGAAACAGATCGGCTGGTATAGGCAGGCTTTCTGGTTGTGGAATTTGGTGCCACCCTTATAAGGTCATGATGGGATCATTTTCCAGTAAAAGTGGATTTGTACAAAAAGCAATTTAATACTTTCCATGTGAAAAGTTTGAATCGCAAATGATTTGTAAACAAAAACAACGAAAATAAATCAATAATTCAGCCTCAATGAGAGAAACATGGGACTTTGTTCATTTCTCTGGATAGGAAACTTCCTTTCTCCGATCTAAAAACGAAAAATATTTGACATGCAAATAAAAAAAAATTACTACTGAATCTTTTTGAAATTGAAAAATAAATAAATGATAAAAACATAATTTTTATTATAAAGATGAGAAAGTACAAAAAATAAAATTCATTTTATTTTTAAATTGTTTTAAAATTTTTAGCATTTCAAACGATTTTTTAAATTTGTTTCTTTATATTCTGGGCCCCTAGAAGCATTCAGTGTTAAGCAGAAATGTTTGGAACAATAACACGAATTTAAAACGAAAAATTACGTGAAAGCAACAGGACAGTAACGAGGAATGAGACGACTTTCCTTTTTAAATTGAGGTTTTGGTCGAAAAATAACAATTTCCCATATTGTGTACTGTAAAAATATATCCCTGAATTTTTGTTCACCGAGAAATTGAATTAAATTTCAGTTTTCATACGCAAAAAAAAATAAATAAATAAATTAAACTGCATTTCGGACGCATGACTTCAAATCCAAAGAAGAACTCAGAATATGAGGCTAATTCAAATAATTTATAGAGATACCTTTTTTACTCTAATTATTATTTAAATTTATTTATTATGGATTAGGGTCATCAACTGAAAAGAATTTTAAAAAATAAAATGATTTTTAAAAAGTGAGGCTAAGTTTGATCGATTTCAATATTTGACTTTCTAGCTTTCCATATGACAAAAAAAGATAACTAGAATATGAGGCTAGGTAAAAATGAACAACAATCGTTAATCGCACTTGCATATGCCGCAATAAAGTGTCAGGTATTTTTGTTGTTTTTTTTTTTCTTTTATTATAAAAATAACTGTAAAAAGCAACTATTTCAGAATTTTAAATTTAAATTTTTATTTGCAAATTTTTAAATTTATCTGATAACAACGGAAGCAAAACAAGAATTTGCTTTTTCGCGTAAAAAAAAAAAAAAAAAAAACCAAGTCAAATAGAATGATTTTCTGTGTGTGGTGGGGAGGGTGGGCTAGAGCTTTTTGAAAAAAAAAAAAAAGCATCGGAAGCACTTGTTTATGTGCTCCGTATCTGTTTAGACCTGCAGAGTGACGGGTGAAAATAGCTCCTCAAAGGAAGCTTTTGTTTTTCTTTTTCCTTTGGGTAGATTTTTTGTAAAAAATCAAATCAAATCATCAGTAACTAATTTTATCTTTTTAATCTTTAGTCTAAATAAAAGTAGAAAAAAAAGAAAAAATGACCACCCGACCCGAAATAGGAAAAGAAAAAAAATTATCTTTCTTTAACTAACAAGACACAAGCAAGATTCTTCCTTATTAATTCATCAAATATCCAGTTTTTACGCTGTTAATCTTAACACCAAAATAAGGTTTTATTTACTTTGCTTATAAGAAAGAAAATGTAGATTGTAGAATTGTCATAAGATTAGTATAGATGTAAAAAAAATAGCTAAAAAACCCCGGTCTCAGTCAAATTCAGTAGAAGAAAATCTAAATATTTTTACAAGCATTTTTACTTTTTAGACTTGCTTACCTGAAATTTTGGAGCTAGAGGTACTTTTACAAGAACACTGTCACCAGGTATATTTTCCATGATTGAGTGAAGGTTTTTAAGACGAAGTAAAAAAACTGTTCGAATCCGAAGAGGGGAAAAAAAGAGAGAAAATCCCGACCGATTTTTACGCAACTAGTAAGATTTCCTTTCAAAGAAATGGAAGTAGGAGGAGGATGAAAATTGAAAACGAAGCTCAACGCCTAAAAATATTTCTTTGCTCAGTATGAAATATAGGAGTGGTAGCAATGACCGTAGTATTGAAAATTAAAACTGAGGACGATAGAAAGAAATAAAAAAAAAAGCCTATCTGTGTAGCCCAAGTGTGCGGGGAGGGGGGAATATGTTTTTTGTGTCACTCCTCTCACTTTCCCTCAATTGTCTCTAACGTATAAAGACGTCAAACTTAACTTTATTATATTATAAAAATAAAATAATTCAACCGGCTGGGAATTCTCTTCATAAAGACACAAAGACGTTATATAGCTCAACTGGTAAACACGTCGACTTGTTTTTAGTCACTGAGTTTAAAAGGGCAAGGTAAAAGCATATAAAAACGAATGTATTTCTGGAATAAAGAGTTATACGAGTATTTTTACATTCGAACTATTGTCCTTAACTTTCATCACAACGTTTCAGCTGTTATACCCTCCGGCTTTCACAGAGTGCTTGTCAATACAGGTTTTGTGGTGCGTCTAAATGTAAAAATTTAAAATATTTAAAAAAAAAAAAAAAGATTTTTTTTTTCTTAAAATCCATATCCGTATTTCTCTCTCTCTCTCTCTCTCTCTCTCTCTCTCTCTCTCTCTCTCTCTCTCTCTCTCTCTTTACCCATCTCTCAACTACTCTACACGCAAGCCGCTAGTGGCCCGCGAGCCGCCGACGGCAACGCCAGCGGTCCTCTGGAGGTCCGCCAGTAGTAACATTGCGAGCCGAACATGCCGAATTGCCACCAGCGGCAAACGCTAGAGTGGCATGTCACCCAGTGGCAGATTGGTGGCTTGCGTGTGTAGGATAATGAGAAGGCAACTCTCATATAAAAAGAGGATGAAGAAAAGACTGAAGAATTCCTGCGAAACGGAAATTCGCAACTTCAGACTCAAGTTATTGTGACTAGAAATCTACCAAAATAAGAGAGGCTCCACGCACAAAAGAAAGAAACGCCAGAAAACAAATACAGATTTTAGCCAATCAAAAACTCAAAGAGTACTATACTACTTAGTGCGACACTAAGTAGTATAGAGCCTTTCGGAATTGTATATAAAGAGACAATCCACGGACGACAGTAGATGAGACAGCCAGAAACCGGCCTGAGCGTGTCGCGTGAAGAACTAAGCGGTCATCTGCTTAAGACATTTTTCCGCCGTTTTTGAGGACCGAGAATACACAGCAGATTAACTCCGCACATGTTCCCAAAGTAACCACACCCCCATTACTACCAAAGTCTGACCTGTAAACTATCCACTACCGAGCCGCACGAACTTCCGCCAATCATATTTACAAAGGACACGCCCCAATCGAAGTCAATTAAATAAACATATATTATTTGTTTATATCTTTGACTCTGTTCGTTTATTCCGAAGTTTCCGATAAATATTACTAAGACCCTTTAGCCCTTCTCCACACTTTCAGGGAACTTCAAACTGAAGCCTTCATTTAATCTGTCTATCAGTAAGAATATCTAGTCTAAAAATATTCACATTGAAAACAAGACTTCAATCGCTCACTAATACAAGCCTAAACAGGAAATAATGAACATTTTGAACAGATTTCATGAGATCAGACACGAGTGAGTATTTTTTGTTTGAATTTCGTGGAAGAGAGTTTATTGAACATCTTAGTCCTCAACGATTACAACGTTTCGATCACTGCGCCCTTCGGCCTTCTTCGGGCGTCTGTCAATACGAGTAACCTTCAGGGAATTTTGAACTTAACTCTTTATTCACTCTATTCTTATTCCACTGTATATATCTATAGATATAGGGTCTTTGGTAATTGTTCAGTTTATAGAAAATATATACGACTCGCAGTACTCATGTTGGGAAAAATCCAGGACTCGCCGTTTCCCGTTTGCGAAAAATGTCCTCCAGAAGAGACAGCTAGAAACCGGCCCGAGCGTGGCGCGTGAAGAACTAAGCGGTCATCTGCTTAAGACATTTTCCGCCCTTTTTTAGAACCAAAAATAAAGAGAAAATTGGCACCGTAACATATTTCCAAAGTAACCACACCCTCAACAACTACCAACAAGATGACGACTACTATTAAAGTCTGACTCATAAACTAACAACTACCCACCCGAAAGAACTTTCGCCAACCTGGTTTATAAAAGACTCGCCTCAATCGAAGTCAATTAATTAAATAAATAAATTTATATCTTTGATTCTGTTCCTTTATTTCGAAGTTTCCGACAAATATTACTAAGACCCGCTGGTGCTTCGCCACAAGTATGGGGATAATTCTGTTTACATTTCATGATAATGAAATTATGATAATTTATAAGTATTGTGATAATCTTGTTTAAGCCTATACGAAGTGCATTCAAATAAGATCAGATCTTTGGGCAAAAAAAAAACAATTTTGTACATTTCACAAATTTTATTTAATCACCTTCAAAATACTCCTCTTGGGAGTTCACACACTTCTCCCGATGGTTCTGCGACTACTGGTAACACCTCTGGAACGCCTTCTCTGGAATGTTATAGAGCTCCACCGTCGCTTTTCTCATAATTTCTTGTGACAAAAATCGCTTCCCTTTCAACGTGGTTTTCAGATTAGGAAAGAGCCAGAAGTCACACGGTACCAAGTTGGGAGAGTAAGGAACCTGTCGAACAAGTGGTGTGTTATTCTTGACCAGGAAAACTTGGATTATATGGGCGAAATGAGCGGGTGCATTGTGGTGAAATTGCCAATTTTTGCTACCCTCATGTCCGTCCGCTTTCGGCGCACACCATCACGAAGGCGACGTAAAACCTCCAGTTTGTATTCTTTATTGATTGTTTGGCCGGATGCACAATACGACGGGAGTTAAAGAAACGTGTCAACATTACCTTCACATTACTCGTGCTTTTTTGGAGTCTTGGTGATGACAGATGCTTCCATTGGTAAGACTGGAACTTGGTTTCCGGCTCGTAACCATAAACACATGTCTCATCATTATGAAATTTTGGGCGTGGTTTGCCCAATCCAACATGCCCTGAGAGATTTCTATACGGAGTTGCTTCTGCTGCAACGTCAACACCTTGGGTAAGAATTTCGCCGACACTCTCCGCATGCACAGATCCTCCGTTAAAATGGAATACACTACCCAATGCTTATTCCCAGTTCATAAGCAATTTCCCGAAATCTTACGCGACGGACTTCCATGACTATTCGCTGAACATTCCCAACCGCCTCTTCGTTTCTGATTGTGGATGGTCTGCCTAATTTAGTTTGCTACGTAAAGTAACGTGTTATCTCGAATATTCGACTCACAGTGTCGAATTATTTTCTTTAATATAGTTAATATTTATTTAACATTAAATGCTATATATATGGTTTTATTTAGGGAAGGAGAGTTTTCGTATCGAATGACTTTGAAGAAAAGATTTTTTATTAGCTTCGGTAGAATTCCGAAGCTAAAAGAAGTAATTTAATTCCCAAGGAGAGGATTTATTGCATTTGATTTGTTTGTTGACTCGGTGAGTCAACGTTTGTTTTTTGTGGCAGTCGTTCGAGGCGGGAATTCGGTCCCAATCCTCATTCTTCATTTTAAAGCCAGATTTTAAAATATTTTAAAAGATATTTATCTAGGAATCAGATTTTATTAGCCTAGATTAGGCGTTATGTTTTTATTTCTCCCTTTCAGCCCCCAAAAAGATGAAAAAAAAATTGTGAAGAAAAGAAGATAAATGTATCTGAAGAAATTGACTGTTAACAAAAAAATTTAAAACAAGTTTTTCATTGTAAAAAAAAAAAAGGAAAAGGTTGAAAAAAGAAAAGATGATTAAGTTGTCAATTTAAAGAATGATACTGTGGACTCTTCCACAACAAGCTAGTTAACCCCTGCTAGGAAATGCACAATTCCTGTTATAATTTTCACAATCCCAATCTTACAAATATATAACAAGTATTCATTGGTCAATCACCTTCAATCTAGCTTGCTGATTGATCAGTTCCGACCAATCAAACCGCCTGCACGCGACCAATCTGTTTTCCCGCTCATATGCTGGGAGCCACATGACCATTATATAAACCCAACACGTGTAAACTCCCTCGAGTTTTCTTTTCATTCATCTCTCGCACGTCTCATTCCCTGCTACCAAGTGCCAAGATGTAATCTTCAAGAACTCTCATCTTAGCCATTGCGGTCAGACGTTAAAGACCAATACCAACATTCACACAAGTACAAACTCTGAAATCTCTACTGAACTTTTACCAACTTTACAACTCACAATTCCAAACTTTATTTTTCTAAATTACAGTTTAATATTACTTCCTTTTAATATGAGCTCAGGTACAACAATTACCTAATCAAAGGGACACGACTCTGTCCTACTTTTTCAGTTCGCATGCATGTATATCAAATCGTAATAAATTCAATTGTTATGTTTTGAAATCATTCCGTTCAGTTTTGTATTTTATACTATGTGCTATTTACGTCAAATATAAATTGCATTGCGTCCACGCATTGTCCTTAATCCCACCTTTACTAGCCAAAGTACAACAATGGTAACACATATCGCTACAATACATTCTATAGACTGACTGATAAAATTATTAATGTAAGTAAATCCCTTTGTTTATCATTATGTTTTGTTACTATTTGGCATATGGAACAATATGCATGGAAATTTTATTTTATTGAAATAAATGTTTTATCTGTGAACACCATATTTTGGTTTTATCTACTAAATTTAAGATAGTCTGCTTTGAGTTGTTTTGCTTTTACTTCCCTAGGAAGAAGCCGAGAACAAAATCAGCAGTATAATCCTGTGTCTTAATATATTTATTTATAAGTTTAGGACTATTAATTTCTTCATTGTTTATGATTTAGCGAAGTAGGC